ACTGTTTTGGCGTTTTTAGATACTATACAACTTGGCAATCACTTCAAATTTCATTATCACATATGGATGTTTCTAATCTTTTTTATCTTCTGCACTAACCTATGTTTAGATTCTAGTGTTCATGTTTTTTTTTTTTTTCCTTCTTCTGTTCTTGATCGATTTCGCATCTACTATGTACCAAAAAGTTTAATTCTAGAGTTAACTAGCCAACGAGTAATGAACTAAGGTACTTCATTTTTAGTCGCATAGATTATATATTGTCTAATGATATTTTGGTATCACTTGGATTCCAGGATTCGTATTAAACCTTTTTTCTCAATAAAATTAATAATGTTGTTAGCTAAATCCAGTAATATAAGTAGTGATTAGTAGGGAAGTAGTACAATACTGTGTTGCAAAAGATGATCTTATTTATAAACGCAAGAGAATAATATACCCCTACAAAAAGTAGAAACAATTGAAAGAATTGGGTAGGGATTTAAAGCAATGTGTCCATTATTTTTTGTTCTTGGGGCCAATTCTCCATTTAAATTAAAGAAGAATAAAAAGTGATATCCTGTAGTTAGATATTTTCCGGGCTTTTTATCATTTTGTTTAAAGTGTCTCCAAAAGTTGGAATTAAAATGGTGGGAGTAAAATTCTGAGCAGAGTGGACTAAGTAATTTAGTATTTTATTTTTGTACACATCTATAGTGTACTTATTTAAAATTTATATATACGTATTTTTGTAGTATACACGCAGATTTTTACTCTTTTTTTTTTTTTGAAACTAATTTTTACTCTTTGAAACACCGACTCGTTGCACTGTTAGTTTTTAACGTTTAAAATTTTAGATCTGAAAGGTAAAGTACCAATATATATATACCCTTTTCGATCCTTAGCCAATTTTGACTATAGAGAATTTCATCAAATTTTTTACCTATTAAATAATTAGCATTTTAACTAATACTGTATATTACAGTATTTCCTAAATTACCATCACATAAATTTCTTAAACTAATCATCACATTAATTTAGTTACCTCTTCTTATATCCTTTCTAAAAATAATACTGGAAAGAAAATTAATTTTGAAAGATCAAAATAATATTCGAACCCTATTTCCGGGATTTCGCATTTTACTGCCGACTTTTTTTGGG